CCCCCCCGCTTAACTCTTGGCCCTTTCACGTGTGATCGCGTTTCGAGCCCTGTTTTTGTGAGAACTGCGTGGGAAAAAGAAGCACGAAGTCCAGAACGGGCTTGCTAAGAGCCCTTTTCTTTCGTGCCCTGAGCAGAGTGAAGCTGGTCGTCTTCCCCTGATGCAGATACAAGCAGGTTTTCCATGGGAGAGACTGCACTGGCCTGGTCTTTGCCATGCTGCTTTGTGTTTTAATATCCAAATTTTACTTCCCCATTCTTTGGAAGCTGGGATCTAACTGTACTCTGTTCCACCTGTAAATACAGTGAGCTCCTAGGTGGTAAGCTCTTCTCCCATTTTGGGGCTTTATCAGAGACTTTTTAAGTCCCTGAAGATTCCCCCATGTTTTCGCTGTGGACTGAGATTCTGGGATACCTTCCCAACGTGTCTGACTCAAAGATGTATTTGCTTGCTACCCCTGTCTCTCTAGGGGCATCCTCAGTCCGATCTTCTGACTGGTCTGTGGGCTCAGATTGCTTTCGTTGGTGCCCTCCCTCATTTCCTCCTTTTCACGGAGACACAGCTGGGTCTCCGACAAGCAGACCATGTGAGTGCGCTCTGCCCTGTAATCCAATAGGACATGTGCACTGTGCCTGCTACCGGCAGGGCCCTATGTATAGCGAAGGCTTCTGTTTTCGGTCCAGAAGGCTGATTAGGAGCGACACAATGCACAGAGAAAGCAGTGTGGTGAGAGAACCCTGTCCTGCCTCATTTCGTGTATGATACCGCCTTTAGTTCCCTCTTGTTGGCTTGGAGGATGCACAGAGCAGCCCTGAGCTGCTACAGCTCCTTGCACAATCGGTGCGCGTGTTAGTACAAGCTGAATGACTCTGATCAGGCTGCACAGAGCGCGGAGCTGTCAGCATGGGGCTGAGAGGTTGAAACACCTTGGCTTTCATTCTCACACCTCCCCACCCCCCTCCTCTGCCAGCTTTGCTATATTGATTCCAGCGTCAGTGATTCAGGAAACTGTCGCGAGTGAAGGTGAGTTATACAGTCAGGGCGGGAAAGAGCTGTCTACTGAGAAAAGATCCAAGAGAGAAAAATTCAGAAAAAGGCACTTGAATTCAAAAGTGGGTCAAGAGACCTGCTGGGTGGAAGGATGGAGCTCTCTCTCCTGCAGACTTGGAGAGACAATATTTTTGGCCTTGGGATAGCTTATCCAGTGGAAATATGGAGGACAGAGTATATACGACGATGGGAAAATATGCCCTGTCTATATACATTAGAGACGATTTATAAAGCAGTTTCAGAACTTTGGATGGAAGATTCTCTATCAGTGTAAGTGTTCATCAACGATTGTCTAATAAAGTGGTGAATCTAGAAAACCCACTGGGCTGAATTTCTCTGGTTTTATTCTGCATATTGATTTCATTTCAAGAATAATACAGTAATGCTGCACGTGGCTGATCCTAATTCATGTGCTGTGAAGAGTATGACAAACTATGTTTCTGAGTTGTTGTTTGGGTCAGTGGCTCTGCTTCAGAGGTCTCGAAGGATTCACTGATGCAGTTTTCTTTAGCCTATTCCATGCATGAGGCCCAATCCAGTATCTACTTTCAGACTGTGCCTCCTGAGTCAGGCCCCAGACACGAATGAACAGTTGAGAGGGGCTTTGGTTTGATGGTGCGTGCCTGTCCGTTCCCCATGATGCTAACTGTGAGTAGTTAGAGTCATACGTCAAGAGTGAGAGCAGGCATGTAGGCACATGGCTTGGGGGCTTCCCCTGCTGCCTGGGGGAGTTGAGTTCAGGTTCCCGTTCCAGTGAACATTGTGTTAGATAAACGGCCACTGAGACAAATTCTCATGGGCTATAATAGATCTGGACTCAAGTTCTTGATCCATATTGGGAAGGTGAGTTTTGATAATAATTGCCTAATTCTCTCCAGGCTTTGTGTGAGGAGACAGAGCACCTAACTTGGGCTGTGAATTACACTGAGCATCAGAATGCCTTAAACCTGTCAGAAATAGTTGAGTGGATTTTGGAGTCCACTGGTCCTTCCTTAGCTAATCTGATATGCAGAACGGGGCCAGAAAACAGGGCTGAGGTTGCATTTGCCTTAGGAATGGAGTCCTGGTGTCCTCTGCCACCCGTGACCTTTGGGGTAGCTCTGCTCCAGGGCAGGCAGGCAGCCTGCAGAGCTTCACCTTTGTGCTTTGTGCGTGGCGGCCTTGGGGCGATGGGCCAGGGCAGCCTGGGTCCGACCTTCCTGCTCTTTCTAGGCAGGATGTTTCCATTTTGCAGATGAGGAGACTGAGGTACAGAGGGGGATTTAATATATTATTCGTAGGAAATAGGTGTCAAAACTGGCGACGTGGAGCAAGGACATAACTAAAGTAGAGGGAACTCCATTATTAGAGCATACTGTGCTGGACTATTGGTTTTATATGTTGCTCACTCATGTAGCCAAAGTAATTGCATTTTGGAGTAAAATTAGGACTCACTCCATCCTTGTGGTACCATAGTTTAATCTTCCCTGTGTGGCCAAAACCACATTATGCTTCCCCTGGAAGCACTGAACTGAATTTGCCATCACTGTTTGTTGGAGTTGCAAGTGTGGGTATTAGAGATGGGGGTGACAATGAAATTTTGTTCCATGCATGCACAGTTCATCCCCAGATAACCTTGCAAGTGAACATACAAACCAGCCTGGCTAAAATTAAAACTGCTTCTTAAAGCTGCTGTCTGACGTTGCCTGAAGCTTTTTGTTCAGTTTATTTTTGCAAGGTCACTGAGACAGAAGAGTGCATTCTCTAAGCATATTGGCCTGGAGCCTTTCATGTAGATGCATTCATTTAACATTTGGGACATTCTCCCTCTCTCTTTAGTCCCTTCATTTTTCGTCCCTTGTTTTCCATCTCTTTCTACTCCTGTCCTTTTTTTAGTTCAGGAGCCCTCAGATCTACAACAGATCCTAACCTTTACGCTTAGGGATAAAAGCTATCCTTTTGATCACCTTAATATGTAATCACTAACCATTAGCTTTTGAATTTGTTAATCATCAGAACCTTTCTTAGCTGAAATAGGACATGTCATTTTATGTTTTTTTTTTTTTTTTGAACAGCCCAGAGAGCACTTTCTCCTGTGCCTCTTTCTGCATGGTGGCCAAGCTGAGAGCAGCTGTCGGAACTGCCGAGGGCTTGTGTGCCCAAGCGGTCGTGAGCCGGAGCGCCTGCTGGAGCTGGCACGAGTGCTGCCTGCGGCGCTGTCCTCGCTCTGTTTTTATCTCGCCACCTGAAATACTTGTCTTGCAAAGCCACGTGTTTGGTGTTTGAAGCAAATTCTGTTTCTGCCTCCTCAGTGGCATGCAGCGTGATCTTGGACAATTTACTTTAGATCAAAATACTAAATTCTTTTTTATTAATTTTTTTTTAAAGAGCTGAGAACATTAAATTCCAGTTCAGATGAACAGTGGCTGCATGAACTGGAGCTCTGAGAGGCATCCTAAGTGTACTAAGCTGAGCATCCAATAAGGTGTCCAAAATTCTAAGTCACTTTGGAAGATTTAAGCCACAGTTTAAGATCTGATAAGGGGCTTAAGTGTCTGAGTTAGGGACCCACTGTCTAGAGTGGACCAGAACACCAAATTAGGCATCTTTTCTTTCTATTTGGTAAAAATGCTGAGAGAGAAGAGCAGTTGAAAAAGCCTTTGTGCCAAGTGAGAAGCTGGCCCTAAGCTTCTGAGCTTCATTTGCATCGTGTCTGCAATGGGACTAATTGCAAATGCTTTATTAATAGATGCATATTAAAAATCCATAAAATACCCCCTTTAATACTGTTAACTATCAAATATAGTAAAACTGTTTCTGTATATGAGACCTGTAGGCAGCACACTTCAT